ACACTTGTGCGGGGTGACCAGCAGGTCCAGCGTCTTCTGGGACAGGTTGGGCCAGATGGCCATCATCTCCTTGCGCAGCTCGGCGTCCATCTGCTGCTTGTCGGCTCCGCCTGCAGCGTGGGCACAGACACGCCCTGACCGCCCGCCTGCGCCTCGGCCTCGGGGCCGCCGCTCAGCCTGCGCGCCTGCGACCCAGCGCTCCGGAGCCGGCTCCCCACGGCTCGCCCGGCCCGGGGCCTGGCCGCAGGAGTGACCCCTGGGCTCTGGTCCTCGGCAGGGCCGGGCCGTGAGGCGGCCGCGTGGGGGACAGTCCAGCATCGAGAGGGGCCAGGTGGCCCGGGTCCCAGCCTGGCTCCCACTTCCCAGCTGAGAGGCTCTCTGTGCCTCAGTTTCCCCATCTGCAGTGGGGATGAGAGCAATGGTCCCTGCCTCTCTGGGTGGTTCATGATCACCGAGCGGTTATAGTCCGTGCAGCCTTAGGCAGCGTCTGCCGTAGGACCGTTGCTACAGCAGCCACTGGCCCCAGGCGGGCCAGGCCGACCCGGCGAGGCCGGGAGACCTGCAGCGGCCCCGAGACAGGCGACCTCTCCCTCCCACGGGGGCGACCTTCGCGGAGCCGCTCCCTGGTCCCCCCCCAGCCATGCTGGTCTTCAAGCCTCGTGGGTCCCTCCTGCCTGAATGCGCCGGAGCGCGGCCCCCGACCCCTGCGGTGGGCTCCCGTGATGAGCTCTTGTCAACAAAGTGTGAGCAGAGTGACAGGCCACTTTGGGGTCAGGGCACTTAATGGCCAGTGTGGGACCCTCCGCGCTCTCTTTCCCTGTCATGGTGGCTGGTGACATCAGGACAGTGCTGCTCCCTCAGGCCTGGGCTCTAAGTGACCGATGAGCAGACCCCTGCCGGCCCAGGAAGTTCCCACGTGACGGGAGTGGGCACCAGCCTGGATGGGTTGGAGACTTCGGGGCTGTTTGTTACAGCAGCACCTTCCCATCCATCCTGACGACACGCCAGCCTGGCCCCCGGGCCTACTTCTGTTTCAGAGCCCCGCCCCGCGCACAGGGGCACCGTTCCAGACACTCACCAGCAGGTACGGAAGGGATATTGATGACGGAGCCAGAGCAAGGGCCCGAAGGCTCCTGCCGGGCCAATGCTGACCCTGTGGTGGCCGGGTTGTGGGGGTAGGTCCCGGAGACCTGGGGGAAGGGCAGGGGCCTGCCGCCAGCCAGTGGGGAAGGATTTCAGGGTTCTAACAACCACCCACTGGGGCACGGCGGCTGAGGAGCCTCCCTGCCCGGGCAGCCCTGACATCTGCTTTGCCTCCCTCCCTGTCGGCCTCTCCTCGCCCAGTGTCTGCCTTCCCTGCCCCTCCTGCCCCCAATGGTCCAGCCTCGGGCTGCCTCGGGCGCCCCTGCCTAGCTTCTCCTTCTCAGCAGGTGTGAGTCAGAGCACAGACATCTGCCAGGCCCCCCACAGAGCATTCACTCCTTCCCCATGTGGGTCTGGAGATAGCCGTCTCTATTTGGGAAAAATCCTCCAGAAAGGCCTTTAAATGTTAATGCACAGGTAGAGCTCAGATCCAGTTCTGGAGTGAAGCTATCGAGGCGATGGGGACTGAATTGCCCGGACCAGCGCAGTTGCCTCTGCCCAGCTCTCCCTGTCCCCCTACAGCTGCCAGAGGGCGCCTGTGTGCAGCCAAGTCAGTCACCAGCCTCCTCTGTTCAGAGCGCTCCATGGCTCCACCTCACCCAGTCCCATCGCCCAAGTCCACAAGGCCCTGCCCCATCTGCCCTCGTCTCCTCTGCAACCCCCCTCACTCACTCTGTTCCCGCCACACCGACCTCCTCACTGTTCCTCAAACCCGCCAGGCATGGTCCTGCCCCAGGGCCTTTGCACAGGCTGCTTCCTCTGTTAGGAAGTTCTTTTATAAATATCTATGTGGGTCTTCTAGCTGGCCCCCTATCTAAAACAGCCAGCCTCCTCATCACCTTCTATGCCTTTCGCCTGCTTTATTTCTCTTCTCTGTACTTATCATCTCATAATTGTTGTTCCTGATCTCGCCCACTAGAAATCGTGCTCCATGGTCTGGTCTTTCTTTTCACCACTGGCAATGCTGGGGGCTGTGGTCGATGGGCCCAGCTGCGTGAGGGTGGGGCCTAGGCTCAGGTCAGGAGGTCAAGACTATTGTCTGAGACCCTTGGGAAAACCCCCTGTGCTGTTGGGCTCTCCAGACCCTTGACACCAACCTATAAAGTTTTCTTTCCTCACGGGAAGCTGTTGGAATTAACAGCTAAGTCTGCCCTCCACTGCAGCTAAGCCAGATGCCCGGGGTCTCTGCGGCTCCCTCTCAGAGACTCGGGAAGGGAAAGAAGGGGACGTGACATGTCCTGTTAAGTCACTTCCTTCTTATAGCTTATATGTTCCCTGTTTCTCATGGAGAAAAGGAAGACACTTGCCGTTATGGACAGAATTGTGTCCCCCAAATTTAGGTTGAAGCCCCAGCCCCCACTGTGACTGCATTTGGAGATGGCGCCTGTAAGGAGGTGACTAAAGTTACAAGCAGTCGTAAGGGTGGTCCCTAATCCAATAGGACTGGTGTCCTCATAAGAAGAGAGAGACCCAGGGGTGTGTGCAGAGAAAGGCCGGGTGAGCACACAGCAAGAAGGCGGCCATCTGCAAGGCCAGGAGAGGACAGCAAACCTGCCAACACCTCGATCCCGGACTTCCAGCCTCCAGAAGTGCGAGAAAATGAGAGTCTGTGGTTTCAGCCGCCCAGGCCGTGGTATGTCGTCATGGCGGCCAGGGCAGACTAAGACAGCCGCTCTCGGCGCCTGAGCCAGGTGAGGGAGCCTGGGAGGTTTCTCCAGTCAGCACTGCTGGCACTTGGGGCCGCACCACTCCTGGTTGTGGGGCGTTTTGTGCACTTAGGATGGGGAGCAGCGTCCCTTCCCCAAGTCCTGACAACCAAAACTGTGCCCAGACATTGCCAAATGTCCCCTGGGGGACAAAAATGCCCGGTTGAGAACCACGATCTTAGCCTTTTTCAGCTTCAATTCACTGGAAAGCCTCGCATTCTGGATTGTCATTCATATTTAAAACAAAGGGAAAGGGGCCGGCCCCGTGGCTTAGTGGTTAAGTGCGTGCGCTCCGATGCTGGCGGCCCGGGTTCGGATCCCGGGCTCACACCGACGCACCGCTTCTCCGGCCATGCTGAGGCCGCATCCCACATACAGCAACTAGAAGGATGTGCAACTATGACATACAACTGTCTACTGGGGCTTTGGGGGGGAAAAAAAAATAAATAAATAAAACAAAGGGAAAATCCTTGGAGGATTTCAAGGTGGCCCTCAGCGGGGGTCATGGGGTTCAGTCCAGGCTGACCCCAGGTTTATTCCTCCTCCAGGTGCAGAATCAGTAACACTGGGGCTCCCAGGGACAGGAGGTCCCCCTGTACATGGATAACAGTTGCCCACAAACCGGTCGCCTCCCAGAGTTTGTGGCCCGAGGGCCCTCCCCTCCCCCATCTCCTTCTGAGAGCCTTTGGTCATCTGTCTCTGTCTCGGGGTCAGTCCTGTCCTCTGCAGGACACTGAGCAGCATCCCCGGTCGCTACATGCCAGACGCCACCAGCACCAGCCCCCTCCCAATTGTGACAACCAAACACGTCTGCAGACCCTGCCACTGTCCCCTACTGTCCCCTGGAGGCAGGACTGCCCTGGTTGAGAACTGCGGATGTGGGGTCCACCTCCGACCGGGACTCGAGCCCCCGACCCCGCTCGATCTTTCCCACAGCCCTTCTCGCCTTCGGGCGCGTTCCACGTGCTGCTTGTTCATCGTAGTTATTGCTTGTTGCCTGTCTGCCCGCAGCCCCATGAGGGCCGGAGGCTCCTGCGTCCCACATGCCGAGGACAGAGCTCGGCACACAGCAGGCGCTCAATAAATGCTCTCATTTAATGAGGTGGGGCCAACATGGCCACCAGTCTCAGGCTGGTGACAACGCACCAGGAAGCCACCCTCTTTGGCACAGGCAGGTCAAAGCCCTTCAGCTCCCATGAGGCCCACCCTGGAACCTTCTGGGCCATTGCAGACCCCACCTTCACACAGAACCTGGTGTTTCGGGGAATAAATGGATGAGACAGTGGCCTCTGGCTGGTCAGCCACACTCAGTCCTGAGACTCTGGGCCAGCCCTGGGGGGTATTGGCCCTGATTTTGGCCCTTTCTAAGACAATGGCATAAGGCATTCCTGTTTTGGGAAGCTGAGGTCCCTGTGCACCAGTGCCAGGGCCGAGGACCACACGGTCATGGGGAACGCCCGGCAGGCACGGGGATGTCTGGTCCTACTCGGCTCTGGGCTTGTCTCCTCTTGCGCTGCCGCTCACTAGGTCCAGGGCTGTGAGCACGCGGGGCACAGTGTTTACGAAGCTCTCCCTGTAAGCTTTCAGCAGAACTCAGAATGTCAGCATGGGGCTGGGGATTCGGATGTGCAAACCGGGTTTGCGTTTGTTCTGGCAGGCAGCTGGCTCTGCCCTCATCCCCTGGACGGGGGGAGCAGGAGGGCAGGGGGCATGAGGGACACAGCCTGAGTTCCTCGGGGGAGGCTTTGGGGTCCAGACACAATGTCTAGAAGAAAAAGAAACAAGAAGAGAGAAGGATTTTCCCCAGACAAGAATAAGATTCTGAGTGGAGAGAACAGAGGAGTGGTGGGAGGGAGAGACAGACAGACAGAAGAGAGAGGGACAGACACACAAAGGACTGAGAGAGACAAGCAGAGGGACCTGCCCTCTCCCCAGGTCTCCAGCTAAGAATGGCCGCACAATCGTTGGAGGATCTGAAGAACGGCTGAGGGTAACCCATCCTCCCGTGGTGCCCCACACTTGTGGGAAAGAAACTCAGTGTGTTTAGAAAGTAAATCAAGCTGTTGAAAATAAAGTGTGTTAACGCTCTCAGTCTGCTATAACGGCTGCCATTGTCACCACTGTTATACCTGTCGTCCCCAAGCACTCAGCTGACCTTGCTTAACCCCAGAGCCTGGCTCAGCTGTGCCCGGGGGACATAAATAATAAAATGACAGCTAATTTTGTCTAATGTCTCATGAAGTTTTATGGGCAATCTAAAC